ATGTTGCCAGTACTAGTAGAATGTTAAGTGTTGAGTTATCTTCTTCAGGCAATGGATGTACGTATGCATAATTTAAAATGTTTGGTTAATTAGTATTATTATGTTTAATGTGTTTTTGCAGTTAATGAACATATATCTACTACTGAAGCAGATAATGAAGATTTGTGTGCTGCTGAATAGCTTTGCTTAATTTACAAAACTTTGTTTAAAAGCAGAAAATTGGGATCGATTGTTCAACACAAGTGAAGAGTGGTGATTTAGTTGATCCGTTTTCAAACAGAATTGTTAGTGCTAAAGAACTATCTACTTTAATAGGATTGCAATCCTTCCAGTTATTAGCCACCATTGTGGAATTAGTAGCAGAGTTGTTTCTAAAGAATAGGAAAAAGGAGATCAGTTATGTCTGTAAAGGATCAAGTTATATTTACTTTTATGAAGTTGAAAGCTGATATGCAAGATATAATGTCTTATTCATATTATTTGGAGTGAATGAAACTTTTTATCGTTAAATTTTTTAACAGTTTTTAATAAAACTGGTAGAAGTTCTTAGTATGGTATAATTCGGCCTTCAAAACAAGAAATATTAAATAATGTGCCTCTATGTAAGTAAGAGTACTACTACTTGATTGTACCGAAATCCCAATACAGCAAGCCAAAGTCTTTGTTGTAGGCTAAAAAATTACTCTGACTACAAAAAGAGGCATACTATTAAAATATTGACTGGAGTGTCACCTACTGGTCTCATTACTTACAAAAGTGAAGCATATGGTGGTAAACTTCAGAAATAGACATTTTTTTAACAAAGTTCAATACTTGAAGTGTGTGAATCATTTCTCGATAGTAAAATGTTTAACAAAGGTTTTCTTATTGGAAACATAACAGAAGCTGAAGGTATACAAATTATACAGCCTGCTTTCCTCAATAAAAAAATCAGTTCAACCATCAAGAGGCTTTACTTAATGCCAAAATTGCCAGAGCTAGAATTCACATAGAAAGAACCTATCAAAAAATAAAAGTGTTTGTCTCTCTGTATTGGTACTTATGTCCGTTTTTCTTCTATTTATATTGAGTTTTTATTATACGATACTTCTCTGTATCTAACTAACTTTTAAAATGTACTTGTAAAGCTCAGATAGCTCTAACTCGGGCCTTTGAATATAATAGTATTTATGTAATTGTATTTACAATAAATACTTTATTATTATTAATATTATTATTATAATTATAATTCGTAAAATTATTATAAACGTATTTACCTTATACCTACTTGTATTGATACTTGCGTCAAAAATAAAATGTTACTTTTTATATTTCTGTAGCTTGTCTTACAACCCTTTATAGAGCAATTCATCATTTAAATTTAAAAACAAAACAAGTTTTTATACTCAAATAATTAAAAAACTTAAAACAGAACATAAGTATAATTAAAACTAAATAAAATAAACAATTCAACAAAATGTCCGACTGAGTAATGACAATGAGAACAAAATCTCAACTAGACTAAACTTTCTTTAAAACCGGTCCTGTGAAAGGTTTGTTTACGAGTGAGCACTCAAAATTGAGACAAAACACAAACATTGCATGCACTAGACAAAGAGAAAACATCTCCCAGTTCGACCCGCTTTTCATCGTTTTATTTACGTATGGATAAGCAGTCTATTTAAACTATATATGTCATTGAAATTAAATAAGCACTTACAGTTTAAGAATTTGAAATTAAAATCATCAAACCAACAACCCTTTCCACCTTCCTCTCTCCAACGATCTTCCTCTTGATCCCACCTGAATTCTCACTTCGCATCCGTCCGGTGTTCTTCGTCACGATCACCGTTATTCAACGATGATAATTGGCTACTTTTAAAATGGTCCAGTTACACAAACCAAAAGGACGATTTTTATTTTTTCCATTTAATGAGACTTTTTTAATTAAGTACGATTCCTTTCAGCGCCATTTTGAATGTTTAAAAACTTATTTAGGATTTGTTATATTTGACTTCCAAAATACTCAGATACCAATTTTAGTCGAAATCTGCCGACTTTTAAAAATAAATAATTTTTTTAAAGTTGCTTACCCTGTATATAATTCACTGGAAGGATAACTGGCTTTGAGGCAGAAAGGAACCTTACCTGTATACAAAAACTTTAAGTTTTTGTCTAAAGCACACGACAACAGACAGACCGACGGAATGGGGAAACATGTTTTTCGTTATCTAGAGACGCTGCAACGTAAAGATCTGAAATAATCTACTTCCTCTCACATCATCTGTTGATCTTATTTAGGGTTTGTTGAAGGATGTTAGGAATCACCTCTCCGTAGTTCCTCCTAATTGTGATAACCATATCATCCGAAGAGCTTTAGAAATCCACCCCCTGCCGAAAGAGATCGTCTAGCAGGTTATCCACGAGCAGGGGTAACAGTTATTGATTGTTATTAAGAAATTATGGGAATTGTCAGTAAGGAATTTTGAAAAGTCAGTTGAATATTATATAGAAATGAAGTTAAATAGATGTTAGAATAGAAAATTTGTGTATGATTAAAGGAAATGAAAGAAAGAGTAAAAGGAAAAGAAATTTTATTTAAATTGAAAATAAGAGGTATTACAGAAAGATTAAAAAATCAGGACCACGAGAATAGGAGATGAACAAGCAGAAGTGAGAGTTACAACCAGGGAGAAGATTTTGAGTAGCAAGACAGAAGTTAAAAGGAGACGTAGGTGAAATTAAAAGGCAAGGCAGGTGTCGGAGGAGACCAGGTAGGAGAGCAGGAGATATACATAAAGAATGAGTTACTGCAGGAGTTTCAGCAGGAGTTACAGTAAGAGATAGGAGACAGGAAAATTATTGTAGGAAACCATTGAAGCCACAACTCTCTGTCCTCGTAGAATATTTTGTCTTTTACAGGGTGGAACCATTACAAAATGTATAAAAAATTAAAACTTTTTGAGATCGGTATATGAAAATATTAACAGTTGTGGACCAGCCATAGTATACACCTTTATCGTACAACTTAATATCAAAGCAGAAAACACAGAAATTATGCATCGCAGATACCCAAACTCATAGATATCTTTACAAAATACTAAGGCTATTTATTTTAATGATCTACGTGTTAAGAATAATTATGAATTTCAAAAACGGAAATATCTAAAATAAATTATAAAGAAAATAATCAAATAATTATGAAATTTCATATGGTTATTGCTTCTGGTTTCTTTGAAGTTCTAAATATTTGAACATGTGTTTAAGGGATTTAGAATTGCCAAGTTTTTATTGATTCCAATAAATTTTATCTTTTTAGAGTACTTTTCGAAATTGCCTATTCAATCCTACTATAATATAGTATATTACATTACGAGTGTGGAAAGTGACATTTTTCACACGAGTGGGAAATATAGTCGCACGAGGCGCAAGCCGAGTGCGACTATCACACGAGTGTGGAAAATCACTTTTCACACAAGTGATGTACAATATTTTTCCTACGACCACAAAATAATGTCATCAAAAAAATGTAAAACCAAGGTTATTATTACTATAATAATTAAAATGTATTTAAAAAAATAACAATAATCGTATTTATTCAATTTTCATATTTTCTAAACAAAAAAAACTAAAAAAAATAAAAAAAAAATAAAAAAAAATAAAAAAAAATAAAAAAAAAACAAAAAAAAAATTCTGCCCCGACAGGATTTGAACCATAGATTGAACGCGGTCGAAAAATGGCAAAATTGATAAGTTCGACGTCCTAACCAGCTGAGCTAACAGCCCTTGTGTCAATTGAATGATCTAATCGGTTATGTATTTAACCAAAATAAAGAGCAAACATTATTTTAAAATTATTTTAATAATAATTGTTAAAGATAAATATCTAGGATCTAATTTACAACAATTTCAATAATTTAACAATCATATCGATTTTAGTATTAATATGGATATTACATAGATCAAAATAGAAATTAGCTTACAAAATAATATCAAAAAAATGTAAAACCAAGGTTATTATTACTATATTAATTAAAATGTATTTAAAAAAATAATCAACAATAATCGTATTTATTCAATTTTCATATTTTCTAAACAAAAAAAACTAATAAAAAATAAAAAAAAAACAAAAAAAAAATTCGGCTCCGCCAGGATTTGAACCATAGATTGAACGCGGTCAAAAAATGGCAAAGTTGATAAGTTCGACGTCTAAACCAACTGAGCTAATGGGCCTTACGTCAATTGAATGATCTAATCGGTTATGTATTTACCCAAATTAAAGAGCAAACATAATCTTAGTTATTTTAAAATTATTTTAATAATAATTGTTAAAGATAAATATCTAGGATCTAATTTAAAACAATTTCAATAATTTAACAATCATATCGATTTTAGTATTAATATGGACATTACATAGATCAAAATAGAAATTAGGCGTTTGACATTTTTTGACAACTACTGCGGAAAGTAACATATTCTCACTTGGGTGGAAAGTAAATTCTTAGTCATACGCGTGTGATATAGGACACTTTCCATAGGACTATATAGTGTGATATGTGTCACTTTCCTAAGTGGTCGTAGGAAAAATATTTATTAACAAGTCAACCATACCTTGACAAGATGATCTATACAAATTTATTTTCATATAATAATTTTCCAAGAGAATATAAATTGATTTTTTTTGTTCAACTGGTTCTTAACAATGGGTATCCTTCTCTGCTATAAAAAAAGTTCCCTCTCTTAATTAAATACAAATCATAATAATATATATTTTTGATCAGTATGCAACTCTCAGTGAGCTGTCCACCTAACCCTTGATCGATTTTTTAGTTATCCCTTTATGCCTTCTAATTTATTTTAATAAAAAGTAACTATTCTTCTAAATCCTGAAGAGATATTTAGATATTTAATTTAAAATGCGAATTAATTAATTCGAAACCTAATGTAATATTTTCAGAGATTTCATCATTTCGAGAACTTCTAGTTATTGTCATTGTACAAATAGCTTTTTCAGTAACAAAAGTATTGCCGATGATGCAAGAACTGAACAATTTAATATAAATACTACTCTTAAAAGTAAAAACAAATAAATAACTATTTAAAATAAATTTGGGGAACCTGTGTATATATCTCCTTAGATTGGAAATGAAGGTAATATAATATTTTTTTAATTCAAATCTGAAACTTTTATATATCCTTTTTATTAATAATTGTTCTTGCTTTGGATTGTCCTAATTTGAATTCCTCTAAAAATATTTAGTATTAATATTTTAAATTGCACAATAATGATAAACTAAACTTTAAAATATTTGACAAAAACATATATTATTAATTTTTATCATCTTGGATTAAGTACCTATTTAGAAATATTTTAAGTTGTATTTTTCCAGAATTACATCAATTTATTGCACTTAATCGCGATATGAGTTATTTAAAAAACGGATAGTAAACTTAACAAACAACTTATTTTTAATGGCTAGTTGCAGTGACCTTCTTGTTGATTTAAGGGTTAATTCCATCAATAACAAGTCAAATAGTTCAGTGGAAAATGAAAAATAAAATATATTTAAGAGAAAATATTTTGTTTTTACCAATTTTGTATTTTAATTACCTATTTGACTGTTTTTTAAAAATAAAAATTATTAAATATTATGTGAAAAATATATTTTTTCTATAAATCTTAGTAGGTACAGAATTCCTATTTCATCAAAGTAAAAGCAGTCAATGGTAATATCAACAGACATTTTCAAATACAAATAAATTAAGCTAAAAACAATTAAAAATGTACATTTTCATAAAATAAAACTTTACTAAAATATGCAATAGAACGACACTTTACAACTGTTAAAATATAAAAGTGCCTTATACAGGGTGTCCGGAAATTGCGTGTAAATGGAGCTACTACATATTTATGGGCCCAAAACAAGTTATTTTGATCAAACTAACCTATACAGGGTGTCCCAATAGTGTGTGGAAGTTCGATATATCCTATATTATAGAAAATATCAAACAATGTTATTTACAAAAGTTGTAGATAATATTAATCTGCACATTTCAAAATTATTTTCGATTATTCAGAGTGATCCATAACTTCAGAGTTGATCAAACCTATGTTTTTTTGTCACTTTTTGTCACTTTTTTGTCACTTTTTTGTCACTTTTTTGTCACTTTTTTGTCACTTTTTTGTCACTTTTTTGTCACTTTTTTGTCACTTTTTTGTCACTTTTTTGTCACTTTTTTGTCACTTTTTGTCATTTTTTTGTCACTTTTTTGTAACTTTTTTGTCACTTTTTTGTCACTTTTTTATCACTCTGTTGTCACTTTGTTGTCACTTTTTTGTCACTTTTTTGTCACTTTTTTGTCACTTTTTGTCACTTTTTTTATCACTTTTTTTATCACTTTGTTGTCACTTTATGTCACTTTTTTGTCATTTTTTTGGTCACTTTTTGTCACTTTTTTGTCACCTTTTTTCACTTTTTTCACTTTTTTGTCACTTTTTTGTCACTTTTTTTGTCACTTTTTTGTCACTTTTTTCTCACTTTTTGTCACTTTTTGTTACTTTTTGTTACTTTTTGTTACTTTTTGTTACTTTTTGTTACTTTTTGTTACTTTTTGTTACTTTTTGTTACTTTTTGTTACTTTTTGTTACTTTTTGTTACTTTTTGTTACTTTTTGTTACTTTTTGTTACTTTTTGTTACTTTTTGTTACTTTTTGTTACTTTTTGTTACTTTTTGTTACTTTTTGTTACTTTTTGTTACTTTTTGTTACTTTTTGTTACTTTTTGTTACTTTTTGTTACTTTTTGTTACTTTTTGTTACTTTTTGTTACTTTTTGTTACTTTTTGTTACTTTTTGTTACTTTTTGTTACTTTTTGTTACTTTTTGTTACTTTTTGTTACTTTTTGTTACTTTTTGTTACTTTTTGTTACTTTTTGTTACTTTTTGTTACTTTTTGTTACTTTTTGTTACTTTTTGTTACTTTTTGTTACTTTTTGTTACTTTTTGTTACTTTTTGTTACTTTTTGTTACTTTTTGTTACTTTTTGTTACTTTTTGTTACTTTTTGTTACTTTTTGTTACTTTTTGTTACTTTTTGTTACTTTTTGTTACTTTTTGTTACTTTTTGTTACTTTTTGTTACTTTTTGTTACTTTTTGTTACTTTTTGTTACTTTTTGTTACTTTTTGTTACTTTTTGTTACTTTTTGTTACTTTTTGTTACTTTTTGTTACTTTTTGTTACTTTTTGTTACTTTTTGTTACTTTTTGTTACTTTTTGTTACTTTTTGTTACTTTTTGTTACTTTTTGTTACTTTTTGTTACTTTTTGTTACTTTTTGTTACTTTTTGTTACTTTTTGTTACTTTTTGTTACTTTTTGTTACTTTTTGTTACTTTTTGTTACTTTTTGTTACTTTTTGTTACTTTTTGTTACTTTTTGTTACTTTTTGTTACTTTTTGTTACTTTTTGTTACTTTTTGTTACTTTTGTTACTTTTTGTTACTTTTTGTTACTTTTTGTCACTTTTTTTTACTAATTTTCTGAATAACTTAATAAAAAGATATATTTATTTTAAAGGGAAATATATTTATTTTCTTTGTTTTTCTTTAAATCAACGTACACTATCTTTTACCTTAGACGAAGTCATAACATAAATTTTCCTTCCCTCCACCATATTTTTACGTAAAGTGTATTTGCTTGTCATAACCCTAACTATTTGCATATATTCGCTGGAATGCCCTTTCTATTCATCACCTATCACCTACCTATAAATAAAAGTTTTAATATACTTACAGTACATTTAAAAATACCCTGTATCCTATAACTATGATTGATTTTAAAAGAAATATTTAATTTTGTTTCGCCTATACTAGGTAGGTGTACGTAAATGCATTCTAACGGGTGGGATATAAGTCACGAAGGGGTTTGTACTTTTTTAATTAATAACTTTCCATCTTTTTTTCTATTTAGAAATCGTATTTAGTAATTCGAAAAGTTTACCATGGAAAAATTCACTTCTTTACATCGCACCTAAATCGTTCAGTTTTAATTAGAAATGCAGCATCCATTCATCTCTAACGTTGAAATGTCAGCGATATGCTCGCTGCGTTCTTAAAATTTAATGTTAATTTTCAAAGTAAAACTGGACTATTTTGGTGCTGTAAAGAAGTGCATTTTGCCATGGTAAATTTTCCCAACTACTGAGTACGATTTCTAAAGAACAAAATAAAACGGAAAGTTATGAAGTAAAAAGTTATCTTATGACCCACCCTGTAAAATCGTCTTAGTAAATTAATAACTCCTGAGAATACTAATTTTTCACAGTTTAACATATTCCCCTAATCCCCTTTTTTATTAGATTATTTTCAGAATTAATATGCTTCATCCACTTATAGAGCTTGATTTTTTTCTATGAATTTAAGTTGATACCGTTTTCTGTTTATGATTTAGGATTTTTTTTTTTTAATTTTTAACCTCCTTTAAATTCTTTCATTTTGATTTTTTTTTAATTTTAACTGGCTTCATCCTATTATAGAGTTTGATTTTTACCAAACATTTCATATTAATATTGCTTGTCCTTTTTGATTTCAGATTTTTTTTAAATTTTAACCCCGTCTAATCCCCTTATTATTCATATTTTTTTTAGAATCAATAGGCTTCATCGCCTCATAAGCTTGATTTTAATTAAATATTTCATGTTGATATCGCGTTTCGTTTTTAATTTATCATTTTTTTTATTTCAACTCCCCTTGATCCCTCTTTTAATCAAATTTTCAATAGGCGTGGTATCCTTATTGATTTTTCGTGAAAATTTCAAGTTGATATCGTTTTTCGTTAAATTTTTGATTTATGATTTTTTTCTTTGAATTTCAACCACAATGAACCCCCCATTTTTAATCACATTTTTGTTTTTTTTTAATTAACAGACTTGGCCCCTTATTGAGTTTGATTTTTTCTGAAAATTTCAAGTTGATATCATTTTTCGTTTTTGACTTATCCTGCGGACAAAAAACATGACATCGGACAGTCATTTTTAAAAGTTAGTTGAAATATGATGAAAATCATAATTTTGCTACAAAGGTTTTTAAATTTGGATCAATATTAAAAAGTTTGGTTTCTCGAAAGTAAACCTATAATGCTCTTCAGGGTATAATAACAAGCAAAACAAAAACCATTTACAAAAATTTCAAAATTAATTTTAATTTTTAATTGCATAATTAAATACGAAAATAATATTAGGTCCAGATTATACCTGCTAAAAATAGCATATATCTTATATAATCATTTAATAAACAGTACAAAGTTGAGGGACAGTTGATTAAAAACGTTTGAAAATATATTTTTTATCAATCAGAGCTGTAGTTAGGCTAAAGAAGCTTAATGCAACAAATAAAAATTTTTGGAAAAATATACCAAGAACAAAAATATATTTCTTGTCCCACTTAAAACATACTTAGAGAGTAAGCTTCTGCTTCTGCTCATAAAAGATAATCGAACAGGAAAAAACCAGTATAATTGGCGGTGGACCACCTGGAACCACCCCCATAAAAAATCCTAATTTTTTTTACCCAATTTTGTAGTCGCTACTATTCTCTATACAATTTGTTATAAAATTCTCAAATTGCTCCATAAATAAGTGAGATATGAAATAAAACCTATATGCCAAGTTGATGACAAAAATACAATATAAAAAAACGCATATTGAAACAAGAAAAGAATAATAACTTAAAATAAGTGCTCAAATTACCCACATCCCACTTCCACACATATGTCAAATTTTTAACAATACATTTCTTGTACAGGCAGAATAATGGTCGATGTAAATCTGTTAGCATTTATAATTTTTATTTTTAAATTTTCTGTTCTCTAATTTTGTTTCGTATACTATGTCCTTTATAGTACCCCAGACAAAATCTAGAGGCGACAAATCAGGTGACTTAGCCGGCCACCGGATAATTGGAGAATGTGTGGTTATAACACGGTTTCGTTCATTTCTGATAATTCTGGTGTGTTCTCCATGTTTACCGTCAGGAAAATGTCTTTGTCTAAGACTTCTTTATACATTAGGTAAGGGAATTGTTCTAAGGAAATTATTCTAAGGAAATTATTCTAAGGAAATTATTCTAAGGAAATTATTCTAAGGAAATTATTCTAAG